TGCCCCAAGTCCATACTTATGAGAGCACCATGTGAGCACCTGTGTGCGTACACGCGCTTGTATATGTAAGGTTTCTCTATAGGAGTGTAACGGAATGAAATCGCTGTTTTCCACCTAAAAGTCATTTCCCCCCTCTCCTCAGCAAGAACTAATCTGCATGAGATATTGTTCAAGGTCTCATGCATCTGCTTTCAAACTGTTTTCCTTTCCAGCACAAGAGAAGAATGAAAAAGGACTCTTTCTTTTTAATAAATCAAAGAACTCTATTTTTAAAAAGCTAATCAAACAAAGTGTTAGTCAATAATAAAATGTGAACCAATTTGTGAAATGAAAATATTAATCACTTGATATTATAGTCCTACAGAATATAATAAGTAATATAACTTTAAATGTTTCCACTAGAGACTGATCACACGTAAGGTTAAGCCACATCACACATTGCTTTTACTCATCCAATCAGAATATGCCAGATCTGACGGAGGCGTGGTTTTGGTGGTGCTTGGTAAATCTGTCCTCTTTTCATTCGAACGTAAATCAAAACATCCAAATTATAAAACTATGCCCACGTCATCTTTAACGCCAGTTCAAAGCGTTCTAGAGAAGTTGTCGGAGTGGCCAATCCATAATTTTCCTCTTCAGCCAAAAGAACCAACGACAAGCTAGATAAAATCTGTTGCTGTTCCAATTGCTGCAATGGTTCCTTTCAGAATAATAGCTGAACCATCACGACCCCGTTCTGGGTCTTGCTAGATGCCAACAAAACTGTCAGAACCCGGAAGTATCTTGTTACGTCCCCAACATGTGTTGGTAAAATGTGAAGGATGGGGATAACATAAGAACTGGACAGTGGATATGAAAAGGGTTTTATTGTTAAAAAAAAGGTTCTAAAACACAAGCAAACATGACGGGCATTATAAAAATAAGGCAACACACTCAAACTTTCAAAAAGGTTAACATTAAACGACAAATTATCAACTATAACAATTCCTGGTTAAAACTTTGTTAAAAGCTTAACCGCACGTAGGTGTTCTAAAAGCACAACGAAGTTGATAAAAGTCTAAAACAATCTACTGACTAAAACACCTGGTAAAAACTTATATTAAAAGCTTTACCGCAACAAAGGTGTTTAAAACCGAAGTCAGTAAAATTGCACCAAACCAAGTTAACCTTTAAAACAAACTGCACACAAAGAGATCCCTCTGGATCATACAAGAGTTTAAACTATTTAAGTAAAAACTCATCCAAATGAACGAAGAAATGAAGGAAGGGGTTAAAACAAAAACGAGACCTGGAGGACAGCAGAACCCCTGCACCGCTGCCTCCCAGACTGCTGAAGGCACAGCCTTTTTATCCTAGGTGTGGCTCATCAGGAGGATTCAGCTCAGCTGTGCTCCTCAGCAGCCCGGGAGAGAGGAGGAGGGGTGGTGTCAGGCTTGATCACTAGGGTTGGATGATCCTGGCTTCTGCTTTTCACTCTCCAGGCTGGCAGCCGTGACATATCTCAAGACTGGTCTGGTCAGCAACCGCAGCTTTTCCTACCGGCTTTGGTTCCAGAGAGGGTCAAGCTGGACCTCGACATTCCTGATCAAACGGGGACTTCCAAAAGGGTACGTAGGCTGACAGAATGGCGTCTTGTGTGTTTATGTATCTCCAAATCAAAGCTTAGCGCGAAGACATCACCTTCACTCCCATCAGAACTAATCGTTTCTCCGGATTTGCTGGTTCTGAACGACATCCCACACTACGCCATTCTCTATCTCAATTCACCTTAGTTACACCATACATTTAGTGTTTAAAGTTAGTCTAGTTTTAATTTGTTTAGTAATAAATCTTTAAACTTTTAAAACTTGACTCTCTTTCTTTTGTCCCTGAGTTAATATGAAGTTGTTACATAATCCCTGCAATAAAAAGTTCCAATCTTCTGGTTAAAATCACCCAAAGATCCATAAGATTGATTTCATATTTCCTATAGAATCTCATGTCTTATGGTTCATTAAATAATATGTATATTAAATTCTTACAGGAGTGTCCAATAGAGAGTGTGAGGGGCCACAGATCTGCCCCCCAAATATGTGTAGAAGATGGAGGGAGCTCCAAGTCTCAGAGATCCAGAGCACAGGGACCCCAGGGAGAACTGTAACCAGAAAAGCCCCATACCCCTTTCGAGAGGCGCAGAGGATTGCCCCGGGGGGTCACATCCAGCAGCCGGCAGAGTCCCGGGATATATCAGCGGCAAGCCCACCCACAGCCTCCCACCCCCAAGCCGGCCGAGCCCGGAACCCAGCGACCCAGGATCCAGGGGCAGCCAGCCCCGCCGGCGACCCAACAGAGCCCAGGGACTCAGATCCCACCAGGCGGCCAACGGGATCGATCAGGCAGACTCCAAAAATCTTAAACACCCTTACCTGAGAGCCGCAAACACTCAGGCACACCAAGGCACCCCACTCCGCACCAAATGTGGCAGGGGGAAGGTAGGCGAAGATGTGTAGTAGCACAAGAAGTCTGAGGAGAGGGGAGGAGTCCAAGACCCCACCTGACATACACAGCCATACACAGACACAGTCACACATTCCCTCTCTCATGCTCACACATACACATACAACCTCATGTGGGGGGTGCTGAAATGTGTAGTACTCCTGACCCCGGCTTTCCACAGGAGCCGACAGCAGCACGTCATAGCTACTGATAGGAACGGCTGTGGTCAACAGAACCTTTTCCACTGGAGCCGTCAGCAGCGCGAGTCGGCCGCGTCTCAGGAGCAGCATGTCGCGGCCTTTACGCGCCGGTTCTATTTTCTACGCGCGACGCCTCTGAAACGGGTCTAGTTCAACATTTTTTGGGGAAGGAAAGACAGGAAATCGGACGCGGAAATGGAGAGAAGCTACCGAGATTTTCAGAATAAAGAACGTACTGCTTTCCGGTTGCTTTACTTTTAAAAAACGTTACTAACTGTGCGGCCCCGTGAGAAGTTATCACCTAGCTAGCGGTCTCCTTTGTTTTTCAGGTCCGTATTGGCGATTATAAAACGGACAGAACATAAAACACAAACCATGTTGCAATTTTCTCCTGCTTGTTGTTGTGTTTACTGACGAAGTCACTCGTGTGTGACTTCGTGCTCGGTCGGTGACAGCTGCTCTCCTGCTGCTTCGCGTCGTGTGGGAAGGGCCAAGCAGCAGCTTACGCGAGCAAGACGTGCTGCTGCAGTAACGTGCTGCTGACGGCTCCCGTGGAAACCCGGGGTCACACTGTTTGGCCCAAACCACATGACTTCTGCATTTTCTTCATTAAGATTAAGAAGGTTCTGTGCCATCCAGGTCCTAATGTCTGCATCACAGTCCAGGTTGGACTGAGGAGGCTCTGGGTTTCAAAATGGGAAAATAGACTTGACAGTCATCTGGATGAAAAGGAAATGAGATACAAATTGTTTCCCAGTGGCAACATATATGATTGAAAAAAGCAAAGGCCTGAGAACTGAGTCTTCAGGAACCCCCCACAGCAGAGGATCACAAACTGAGCAGGAATCACTGACGTGGACCTGGATGACCATTTGAAAGTTGAATATGGAACAATTTAATAAAAAGCAATATATATATATATATATATATATATATATATATATATATATATATATTTCTATTATACCTTCATGAGGCATTTAGAGGTGTTCAGAACAAAGGAACAGTATTTCCTTTAAAAGCTATATTTTAATTAAAAAAAATTATCAAATATTTATTTGGACAATATATTTGTACAACGCACGCATATGTTTACATCTACCAGCCAACAGAGGGCACCATTGCGGGTTGCCAAATACATTAAGCAGTCCGCTCGGCACAGTGAGGCTGCCACTATGGAAAATGGCTGACACGGCAAGTCAAGCAGCTGCGTCTAAGCCCAGAAGATGTTCTAACATTAAATACTGATGTAAAACAAACGTATTAGTAAAAATTTGTCCTTACCCTGCATGATTCATCACTGGACATGGTGCTAGCCGGTCTTTTCACGTATCGGCACCCAATCTGACGTCCTGATGGCTGGAAGCATTTTTTTGTTGCAACTGCAACCTTCACACACGAGATGTCGCTTTGGTGTTCGTGTTCCACCTTTTAAAGACAGGACTTAAAACATTGCAGAGCAGAGCCTGGGATGCGTGTCCAATGCTCCATCCTGGACATAATGATCCAAGAAGTGTCAAACACACAAGAACAGAGTCACCAGAACCTTTGGCTAATTAAATGTCATTAAAAACATTTAAAAGGGCAGATTTGTGTACTGTGGCAGGCCTTAATCCCTGACTGAATGAGCTTCATAATCCCATGCTCATCCAGGAAAGCCCAAAGCTGGTCATGAACAACCTTTTCCAACACCAAAAATGGCAATTTTGAAAGTGATTTAAATGTTCATTTTCACTGTAACCCGGATTTAACCCTCTGTGCAAGTACTGTATATTTGGTGAAGGTGGGATGTGTGCTGTGAAGAAATAGAGGGACCAGACACAGGTATCTTCTGGGATACTCCTGAAAATGTCCGTGTTTTAATGTCAAGCCAAACTGTGTCTCTTCCCTTAAAAAATACTTCAAAAACAGTCACTTGTGTTCTAATTTATGATGCAAAACACAACGACAATCAAAGGAAAATGAGTTGTGGCAAGTTCAGACCAGATCGTGCAGTCATTCTTCAGTATTTGCATATAAGACACTGTCCGGGAACTGACAAGAGTTGACAGCAATGACAGACCAACATTTTCTGTTTACTTTGTGGAGCTGCCAAAAACAGCAGCCACGCAGATTTGACATATTTGATTTTTCATAAATGCTTCCGTTTCGTGTGAAACGGATGTTGTGGTGCCCAGGGAGTACTCAATTTGTGAACTGACTGGTTCTGCATGAGAAAAATAAATATCCCTTTTCTGGAGAACTCTCTGTGAGCAGAGTGTGTGCAACTTCTCAGCCATTGTGATGTGTATATTTGCTACAGCTGATTTTCCTTCAAAGTAGATGTAATCGTAGACTTTTGAAGGTAGGAGGAGCAGACTGAAAAAAGGGTGGGAATTGGGAAAGTCATCTGATAATTTCTAAACATCTTGAGTTTACTTTGTCTTTGCAAAGTCTTTCACAGTCAAGCAGGGAGATCTGTAGGAGTGTTGCTTTCCTTTGCTTCATCTTCAGGAGAAATGGCTCATTTAACCACAAGGTGAAAACTTTGATTTTTAGGTTTCTTCTTTGGTTAAGTAAGCAGTATGTTTTAGAGCACTTTTATATTTCACAGTATTTGTTTATTTATTGAATTGTTCCTTTCAAATGTCTCGGTATCTCTTGTGAAGTGTAAACATACATTTTATAGTTTGCTTTTCATTCTTTGAATAACGTTTAGTTGGGTTTGTTCTGTATTTTTCTGCAGCCTCCCTGCCATCTACTTATCTAAAACTGTGGAGAAAATTCCAAGTAATTTCAGCGAATGTGTATTTACAACGAATGAGTGGATCTTCTCTGTGATTCCACCATACATCATGACTGTTTCCATTCTGGGAATTCTCCTAAATAGTTTTGTATTGATGGTTTTCTCCCTCCACAAGAAGTCCTGCACCATGACCGAGATCCACTTGAGCAACTTGGCTGCTGCTGACCTGCTTCTGGTTTCCTTTTTGCCCTTCTATGCTGTTTATGTCTTTAATCATTTCAACTGGACTTTTGGTTTGGCCATGTGCAAATTTGTCAATCTGAGCATTTTGATGAATACCTACTGCAGCATCTACTTCATGGTTCTAGTCAGTATTGATCGTTATTTGGCTCTGGTGCATCCGATGTTTTACGAAAGAATCAGTGAAAAAAAGTTTGCCAAGCTGGGTTGTATGGTGGTCTGGATTCTGGGCTTCATCTTTGGCCTTCCAGCTCTTATCCACCGGGATCTGAAACCCTCCTATAACCAAACTTTCTGTTACCTGAATTTTCCCAGCCGCACTACACAGCTAATAAGTGACACGTCAATCTCTTTGTTTGGATTCATCACTCCAATTTTCATTATTTCTTTCTGCACTTTCAAAATCATCAAAGCTCTGAGAAGTGGATCAAAGGAAATAAAGAGTGCAGAGAAAATGCACCAGAAAATGACCACTTTGGTTCTGGCAGTTCTCCTGGCATTCCTGATCTGTTGGGTACCGTACCACCTGCTGAAGTTACTATATCTACTAAAAGATGCTGACATGTTGACTAGTTGTAGTGTTTTCAATCACCTGCTCATCTGCAGCCAGATCTTCACCTACTTGGCCTTCTTCAACAGCACTCTCAACCCCATTCTTTACTGTCTTGTTGGAAAAACTTTTCAGAAAAAAGTTAAAGAACTCTTCAAGCTGAGTAACCAAAAAAGCAACATGGCCATCAATGACCCCTCTACATCCACAAAACTGTATGGAAGTGCTCAGTCAGAGGAAAATGCTCTCTGATCTGCTAAAAACCACTAACTGTGTTAAAATTTTCTTAAACTCTGTATGATTTTGATTTAAAAAGACGCATAAACATCCATCAGAGGGTTGAGCTCCACAATATGAAATATTGGTGTTGACAGTTTTCTTGGTGTGTATTGAAATGACTGGGATAAATCTTTCCTGACACTAGGCTCTTGAGAGAAACCACTTGGTGGACATGGCTCTGTTCCCATTCCTGAGATGTTTATCATGAAAGACTCATTTGTCTCATGTGTTGTTGTTTTTTTACTTGTGCAAAGATAAAACTATCCATGTGTAAATACGTCTTGGCTGATACACTGAGGATGTTGTAACCATCACAGCTGTTCGACAATCTGTTTATATCTTGCACAACGTGACAGGATTTGTTACTGAAACCATCCATCCATTTTCATCCGCTTATCCAGAGTTGGGTCGCGGGGGCAGTAGCCTAAGGCGAGAGGCCCAGACTTCCCTCTCCCCAGCCATTTGGGCCAGCTCCTCGGGGGGAATCCCAAGGCGTTCCCTGGCCAGGTGAGAGACATATTCCCTCCACCGTGTCCTGGGTCTACCTTTAGGTCTCCTCCCGGTTGGACGTGCCCGGAAAACCTCACCAGGGAGGCATCCTGACCAGAAGCCTGAGCCACCTTAACTGGTTCCTCTCGATGTGGAGGAGCAGCGGGTCTACTCCGAGCCCCTCCTGAATGACCGAGCTTCTCACCCTATCTCTTAGGGAGAACCCAGCCGCTCTTCGGAGAAAGCTCATTTCGGCCGCTTGTATCCACGATCTCGTTCTTTCGGTCACTACCCAAAGCTCATGAGGGTAGGAATGTAGATCGACCGATAAATCGACCAGTAAATCGAGAGCTTCGCCTTCTGACTCAGCTCTCTCTTCACCACGACAGACTGGTACAATGCTCGCTTCACTGCAGATGCAGCACCAATCTGCCTATCGATCTCGCGCTCCAGTTTTCCCTCACTCGTGAACAAGACCCCGAGATACTTAAACTGTTACTGAAACTCCACAATATTTATTCCACCACTTGAGTTGGAGAAGGAAACCCATCGACATTGTGAAATTTTTTTACAACAATTTTAAAATTAGCTCTGAAGTAGACATAAAATAAAATGCTATAAGTTGTGTTTTACATATAAAATAACATTTTTAAGCTTTTATGACTTCTTCTATCTAATTATAGTTCAATATGTTAGTTTTATTAAGATATGCGCTAGAACTCTGCTTTCATCCTCTAAGATGAGAGATCACAGTAACCGCTCTTGTTTTCCTGGATTGTTGTGTTTATGACACTTATTTCAACCGGCAAGAAGAGTGACATCTTAAAGGGGACTCATTGTGCAAAACTGACCTTTTGCATCCTTTTGTGCTGTCATGGGTCTCTGCTGTCTCTATAAATACACCAGACATGTTTTCTTTCAGTTTTAGCAATGACGTGCCTAAATTGAGCCATTTAAAAAAGTCCCTGTTTGTGATGTCACAAACAGAAAAATTAGAAAAGACAATTTTCTCATGTGCAAGAGAAAGCAGATGTTTTAGCCCCTCCTAGATATTGGAGATTCTCAGCTTTTAGCAGCCTGAGCTGTGACAGGTGTGCGTGCCCAGCTCCAGCATGTATTCTTCAAGTGACAGAGTGCAGAAACTTCTGGAAGGGACTGAAAATGTTAAGAATAAAAATGCTGAAATTGCAAAGCCCACCTCTTCAGACAAGCTTTTACTACCCAGATGTAACTTCATTGTTTTAAATTTTAAGCATCTTAGTGTTTTAAGATATTTCTGAAATGTGTTTATCTTGTTTTATTTTATCCCCATTGTTGTAAAGTGTTCTTTGGTGTCATGAAAGGCACATTTTAAATAAAATGTATTATTATTATTATTATTATATCATTAAATGCTGTATGTGAGGGATATTGTGCAAAGAACACAATAAACACCGTAGAACAAATATAACTTTAACATTGAATAAAAATGTTTATCTGAAAACAGGCGCTGCCTTGTTTTAAAATGTCTTACTTACACTTGTACTCATTTTTTATTTGTATTTTTGTAAATTTGTATGTGAAACTCTAGTAAATGTACTGTTGAATAAACAGAATTCTTAAACAATGGCATTGTTATGCTATTTTTAATCATTGTAAATTAGATCAAGTGAATTTGAAATCATCCTAATTAAATATGTTGCATGTTTGAGTCAAAACCACTAAAACTAAGCAATTGATATTTATCTATAAGGTTTCACTTAGTTTATTCATGTTTCACATTACAAAACAGAAAAAAAGTATTATTCAAAAATAATTCCTAAATTATTTAATCTTCATTTTATTCTCTATAAAAAAATCCATGAAATAGAATTTCAAATGAACAGTTTCATTCTGTTCATATGAGTGGATGTTTGCCAAAAGTGTGCATTCATCAACTGATGAAATCTGCAAAACAACTATCAATTTGGTTGCATTTGGTAAAAACATGTCCAAACAGGCTAGACTCATCACGTGTTTTACGCATCTGGCCCTGATTAAGTCACTGCCAGTAAATAAAGGAGAGTAATTGTTTCCAGAGTGAAACTTTAAGAGCATTTTTGGGAGGCAAACCTTTCATTTGTTCAGAATTCACATTTTTCCTTTGCTTAAACACATATATGATTATGAAGAACAATATATTGTTTGATTTTTTTTTTCTATAGGGTAACGTTAACATGACTTATGACTTGTGAGGATGTGCCTTTTTGGGGATAAAATAAACTTTCAATATAACTCATCCAATATGTTAACATGAAAATGGCTATAACTTAGTTAATGTTACAGTCATGCCAATGAATAATAATAATAATAATACATTTTATTTAAAAGCGCCTTTCAGGACACCCAAGGTCACTTTACACAAAACACGTAATAAAATACAATAAAACAATAATAAAACCCAAAGAAGAAAAAACTGAGAGAAACATTTCAATAAAATCAGAGGTTGTAGGCAGATTTAAACATGTGTGTTTTGAGTTTTGTTTTGAAAAGGGTAAAACTGTCGACGTTCCTGATGTCTGGGGGAAGTGAGTTCCAGAGTTGAGGAGCAAAGCGTCTGAAAGCTCTGCTCCCCATGGTAGCGAGACGGGCAGAAGGAACCGCAAGATGGATGGAAGAAGAAGATCTGAGTGAACGGGACAGGGTGTGAATACTTAAAAGGTCTGAGATATATGGAGGAGAGAGGTTCTGGATTGCTTTGAAGGTATGGAGGAGAATTTTGAAGATGGACCTGAATTTAACTGGGAGCCAGTGAAGCTGCTGGAGAACCGGCGTGATGTGGTGAAAGGAAGGGGTTCTGGTGATAATACGGGCTGCTGAATTCTGTACCAGTTGCAGTTTATGAAGGAGTTTGTTGGGAAGACCATAAAGAAGTGAATTGCAATAGTCGATACGGGAGGTGACGAGGCTGTGGACGAGAATGGCGGCAGTGTGAGGGGTCAGTGAGGGAAGGAGACGGTTTATGGAACGTAGATGGAAGTATGCTGACCGAATTAAGTTATTAATGTGAGCCTGAAAAGAAAGTGTGCTGTCGAGATGGACACCCAGACTCTTGACGTGAGGTGAGGGGGAGACTGTGGCGCTGTCAATAGTTAAAGAAAAGCTGTCAGATGTTGAGAGGGTGGAGTTAGTGCCAACAAGAAGAAGTTCAGTTTTATTGCCGTTGAGTTTGAGGAAATTAGAGGTGAACCATGATTTGATTTCAGAGAGGCAGAGTGTAAGGGAGGATGGTGGGAGAGTTGAGTTGGGCTTACTGGAAATGTAGAGCTGGGTGTCATCTGCAAAGCAGTGAAACTGGATATTGAATTTGCGGAAGATTTTGCCGATAGGGAGGAGATATACTATGAAGAGGAGGGGCCCCAGGACAGAGCCCTGGGGCACACCTGACTTGACTGGGGAGGGTTCTGAGGTAAAGGATTTTAACTGGATGAACTGAGTGCGGCCAGTAAGGTAAGATTGAAACCAGCGGAGGGGGGTGTGAGTGATGCCTAAGGAAGAGAGTCTATTAAGGAGGATGGGATGAGAAATGGTGTCAAAGGCCGCACTCAGATCGAGGAGAATAAGAATAGAGATTAAACCAGAATCAGCAGCAATGAGTAGGTCGTTAGTGATCTTGATGAGAGCTGTTTCTGTGCTGTGGTGGGGACGGAAGCCAGACTGAAACTGTTCATAAAGGTTATTGCGGGTGAGATGTGAATGGAGCTGAGATGCAACAGTTAGAATGTTAGTGTCAGCCCAGTTTGACTGTAATAACATATCATGAACTAATAAAAATATGTTTGTAAGACTTCCACAAACTAATTCTTACATGTTCAGTTACAACTCATTAACTTCTGGAGTCAGCCTGATTCAAGATGGCCAACCGGGCTTATCAACCATAGCAAACACTTACTTGCCATAACTCAGTCAGTTACAGGGTATTGAGCTAATATCAATGTGGCTAGTTCACACATATTTGTTGTATAAAATGTTATTTTGCATCAGAAGCATAGCCTGCATGTTGGTCTAGCCACACTTCATTTGAATCTTCACAGCCCCGGCCAGTCTGGTGGCTGGCCAATCACAGCACTCTATCGGTTTGGTGGGCGGGATGTTACTGCGACTGAGTGAAACAACCATAGCAACGGCTTGTTTAAAATGGCTTTGGCATAAACTTTAGACTATTTAGACTAGGATTTGATGATGTATGTGACTGGCCCCTTGACTGACATCCATAGCAGACAATACATCACATTGTTTTTTGTCCAGTAGCATGCAGAGACAATTTGAAAGACACCCGTAGATCCCGCCCCACGATCAACAGCCATTATGGGTCATGGCTACACTATATATCCACATATTTTGGATGGTTTTGCAGGTTATTAGATGCACACAATGTTTTCAAAAGATGATCTCAATTTAAAACTTGCATGAAAGAAGCAATGTGTCTTTGTTTAAAAGTGCTTGCAGGAAGAATGGCATCCTGTGGTGAAATGTGGGTACTGCACACAGTAACTGCAACCACCCCCCGCCTCCAGCGGAGACCTGGCAACCCCAGGGGCTCGTATATGATTAGCTCTGGAACCAGGAAGTATGAAGGCGAAATGGATTGTAAATTATGATTATGTCCCTCGTTGGCCTTTTTAAAAGGATAAAAACTGACCACCCTCCCAGCCGGCTCAGATGAAAATGTTTTTCAATGTCACCTTCCTTCAATTTTATTGAGATAGACTGTTTTGTGATTGTTTCATTGTGAAATTCTTACTTACTGCACCTCTAAAGAACAGTAAACCTTTAATCACTTGCCTATTTCACTTCATTGAGACAAGAGAACTTGTATTGAACTGCTTGTTTGGTGTATTATTGCTTTATTGTAAAAAAAAAAGAGTGTTTTACATGTATACTTTATTTTATGGTGTTTTAAACTGAAGAATACAAAAGAGGCTACATTCACTGTCACTGGCTACTGATTTTCTCAGAAGGAACATTTATACCATGAGAAAATGACGACCGGAGCAAACCATGATGATGGAATGCAGCTGTTACTGCCTCTTATCTCCTTGGTATGTAAACTATAAACCTTAAAGTGTTTATCTTTTTTTGTTAACATGAGTATGATTTGTGTTCCTGATAACCATTGTGAATCGTTAAAGTCTAAGAGGACTAGCTTCTTCAGACGACATCATTACAGAGCCTCTTTTATAATTATTGTATTTGTTGCGTGTGTTTTCACAGTAAAGCATCCAGACTTACTCAAAATGTTCTCACATTATGGTGCTGAAAGTAAGCATTTTTTTTTTTGTAATCAATGTTTTCTGGTTTGCTTTTAATGTTTCTGCAGCATTCCTGCTGCTTGCGCTCCATGGGTGAGACCAACAGAAAGCAAATGAGAGTTATTGTAATTTCCGTTTAAATGGTTTCGGACTATTTCCTGTTGATTTCTGTTCTGGGAGTTCTCCTTAATGTATTTGTGCTGATGGTTTTCCGCTTCAACAAGAAGCCCTCAACTGTGCCTGGGATTTGCTCGAGCAATCTTGCTACCAGAAAAGAAAATGAGATGTTTTTATTTAAAATAGCGTCAGATTGACAAAGGCCAGTGAACACAGAAGACATAAAACAGACTAATTTCCTTAAAAACAAGAATTTGGATAATTCAGTTAAACAGATTAAATGTAGCAACAAGCTGGCAAGAAGTTAAAGTAAAATCTCAGTACATGTAGTAAGAGATTGATGACATTGATTACAGTTGTGCAACAAAGCCACGCCCACCTTAGGCAGGAAAAAATGATTGGAAAGATGCAACACAGAGCAACAGAGGACAGGACAGAGATGTCAGGCCACAAGACTGTCCAGTGGCTTGTTGGAGTAAAATAAAAAATTTGCTAAATTTTAGAAATTATTATTAAATTTTTTTACTAAAAATATGTAGCCTAAGGTGTAATAAAATTGTCAGTTATTTTTACATTTTTAAATAACATTTTGTTTGATTTGTTCTCCTGTGTTAATTTTCTGCAACGTCCACACCAGCATGTGTGTCTGGAGCTGTCTAGTAGACCTGAGTGGCGTGTGCTCCTCAGTGATCTCGGTGTATCTCATAATTATTTCCCTTCTGAGAATTCTCCTAAAAATCTTTGTGCTGATGGTTTTCTGCCTCCACAGGAAGTCCTGCACCATGACTGAGATCTACCTGAGCAACTTGGCTGCTGCTGACCCCCTTCTCATTTCTTTTACGCCGTTTGAGGCTGCTGAAATTGACAGTAAATCCAAATGGACTTTTGGTTTGGCCGTGTGCAAACTTGTGTACATGAACATTCAGATGAATGACTGCTGCAGCATCTACTTCTTTGTTCTGGTCGGCATTGATCATTGTTTGACTCTGGTGCACCCACCGTCTAGTGCTTTACTTTCAACTGCAGGAACATTTACAGCTTCATGAGACCACTAAAAAGTTTCAGTCTGGTTTTAAACTGGGGCACAACACAGAAACAGCACTTCTTAGAGTGTTTAATGATCTGCTTTTGATGGCAGACTCAGGAGATTATGCTGTTTTAATCTTACTGGACTCAACTGCTGCCTTTGACACGGTAAATATTTTATTATCACGTCAGGAACAGTCTGTCGGTCTTAAGGGCACAGCGCTTAACTGGTTTTTCTCCTATCTGTCTGAACTTTTTCTGTCCAGTTGGGTCAGTTTTCCTCCTGAGGCCCCTTTGAACTGTGGGGTACCTCAAAGCTCCATTTTAGGACCTATACTTTTTTCACTGTATACACTTCCTTTGGGGTCACTTTTTAAGAAATACAGTTTGTAATTTCATTGCTTTGCGGACGATCTGCAAATTTGTCCCCCAGTATGATCATGTGGAAGTCAGTAAATACAGAAATTGCTGAACTGTTTGAAGGACATAAAAACTTGGATGGAGATGGATTTTCTGCATTTAAATGAAAATAAGACAGAGGTGCCTTGAGATGACTTTTGTCGTAATTTGGCGCTATATAAATAAACTGGAATTGAATTGAACTGAATTTTTAGGCTGAAGAACTATCAAAGAATCGTAACTATAAATGGGACCTCCACAACCACACACGTGTCAAGAAATGTTCAATCTGAGGATGATTCTGATTAGGTTATGGGTTTCTGGAGTTGGAGGATGCTACAGTTCCTTTTATTAAAATGAGACTTTGTGAATAGACCATATTTTAGAAATATCAGCTTTAACTCAAAGATTGTAGAAAGAGTACTCCTGTCTGTATATCCTGCAAAGCCTTTTGAACTAATTCATAGAAAATGTATAAAGCAGTTTTGTAATTATTCTGTACCAAAAGCAAAACATTTTTAAATGTATATGTAAAATTTTGTTCTCTTTTTGCATCATAATGCTTAAAAGTGTAATAGTTAATGAGTGAAATGATGTTATTGGGCTCAACAGTATAGACAACAGCCAAATTCATTCATGTTTGTAAAACAGTTTAAAGTCCTTATTCACGTTTATGTATGAAAATTTTGCTTCATTGTGACTAAAAACTAATTCTGCATAAACGATTATGACATTGGTCTGTTCTTTTCCTTCATCTCATCAGTTTGTCCTCATCTCTTCTGCTCTTCAAGGTTGCTTATTAAAAAGATAAAAGAATTAGTCACATTTATTTTTATTTTTCAATCCTCGGTCTTAGGATTGGGCTAAAGTCTAGAGAGCTGAGAAACTGCTAAGAGCTGGATTTTTGGACAGTGGAGAACATGAAAGCTCTACACATAAACATGGTGTAAATAATAAAACTGATACACAATTCTGGATTCAGGTTTTCCTTTGCCAGTGCTAATGAAAATCTGTTTCATTGTTTCACGTTGGTTGGGTCACCTAATAAAAGAAGCCTGAAAGCTGAACATTAAGTGTGAAACTCCCAGTTACTCTTTGGCTCCTATTTCCAGAAGCTGCTCCACCACTTGTTCCCAAGTTTATTTTTAAAAATCATCCGAGTTCCAGTTCGAAGGCCTGATGACATCCCTGAGGACGTCTCAGCTAAGACCAGGATGGAAAAATAGAATGGAAAAACCTCCTGATTTGCTCAATTTCTGAACCTGATGGCACTCGAGGGAAGGGGGGGGGGGGGGGGGGGGGCTCCTCAACGAGAACCTGAACCCACAGAGAACTAACCTCCAGTGCAGTTGGGCTCTTGGTGGTGGCAGCATCCTGCTGTGGGGCTGTTTTCAGTGGCAGGAACTGACTAGTCAGGACTGAGGGAAAGATGACAGCAGCAACGTAAAGAAACAACCTGGATGAAAACCTGCTCCAAAGTGCTCTTGACCTCATACTGGGGCGACGGTTCACCTTTCAGCAGGACAATGACCCTAAGCACACAGCCAAAATATCAAAGGAGTGGCTACAGAACAACTTGGTGAATGTCCTTGAGTGGCTCAGCCAGAGCCCATACCGGAACCCCATTGAACATCTCTGGAGACATCTGAAAATGGCTGTTCACCGATGCTTTCCATCCAACCTGATGGAGCTCAAGATGTACTGCAAAGAGGAATGGGCCAAACTGCCAAAAGATGGGTGTGGTGAGCTTGTGGCATCATATTCAAAACGACTTGAGGCTGTAAGTGCTGCCAAAGATGCATCAACAAAGTACTGATGAAGTCACACAGTAAATACGTCATGGTCATTGCTCTGTGTCTTAGCACAAACGCATAAAAAATAAAGGCTCCACGTTACATTTGATGAGAGCTCATATAAAAAGACTTGGACAGCATGCCTGATGAGTGTAAACAACAAAATCCACACTAAACGCTCCAACTGATGGTTGAACCTGCAACCTTCCTGCTGCAGGCCAAAGTCATTCCTCAGTGCTGCTCTGATGATTAGAACAGACTGAACAGAAAACTTCAAATGAAACTCATAAAATGTAAACTAATATTAGTAAGAGGATCATTTAGAACTGTACAATTTTTATTAGATTTCTTAAATCATTTACAAAACAGGATTTTCTTTAAATATTTTAATAGACAGGGAAAATAGAGAAAAATGCAGGAAACAAAATGAGGTCCAGTGAGGCTGGAGGAGGGAATGAGCCGAGGAGGGAACAACATCCAGCAACATCTGGAGCACGGAACTTGTGAGATTTTGGGGGGAAAGATTGCATTGAAAAGTTTATTATCGCAGGGAAGCAGCTCCGGGTTATAAGAGAATAAGTGATTACCGTAAATCCTCTAATACAAGCCCGGGCCTGTATTTGACTCAAGCTCATCAAGCACCAGGCCTTTATTGGAAGGAGGGCCAGAATTAGAGACAGGCCTCTATTTCTATTTGAGCAAAATGAACTAATGGTTTGCTGGAGTTTTTGACAATTAAAATTGCGCCCACATTTTCAAAGTTAAACACATTTCTTTTAACAACGGTAGTTTCTGCTTCAGCCATCTCCCCCCTCCCCCTGCGCAGCGGCCGCAAACTCACTGATGCGCCTGCAGCCTCTCGGAGTTCCTGCTGCTCTAAACATTAAAGTAATTATTTCATTTTCTGTTTCTCATTTTGGTTACCTTCAATGGTGTCTGTTTGTTGCACCACCAGGTACAAAAACTAACTTGTTTTTATTTGGCTATTTTTCTGTCCTGCCTGTTTATTATCTTCCTGCATCTCCTCTCAATCCTAAAGAGAAACTGCTACCTGGGTTCATATATATTCACCTTATGAGTTACCTTTGAACTGCAGTTCTAAAAGATCTACCGACCGCAAAAACAGCGGAGTGCTTGCCGGCCACATCAGTTAGGTGCGTCACTGAGGACAAAACAGGTGACGCGCCCCGATCCACAGCAGCGAAACGCATCAGGCACAAATAAAAGACAGAAAACATAAAAGGAAATGAGCCGACATGAACGATCGCGTGTTAAATTAGTTTTTGAGGTGGCGACACCTGATTTGATCATGTTACTGTGGCCGTGCTCAGGACGCAGATGTCTGGAGCGCGTCAACAATCAGAGCTTTGCATGCGCAAGCAGGTTAAGGTTAGGATGGGGGTGAGGGGAATGTTAAATTGCAAGAGGGTAAATGTCACAATTTGGTTAAATGTCCGTTTTACGGCGGGTGTCAGTACCGACGCTCTGGCCCAGCGCGTTGCCTCCCGACGCGCAGGAGCTTGTCACCTGCTGACAGCAGGCTGCTGTCTTTTCCGTGGACTGCATCTTGCCGGTCATTATCACGTGACAGTGACTAGTCGATGACAGGCATAAAAAGTCACTATAGAGCGGTGAAGTCCACTAGTGACTAGTTCATACAACCCCTGTTACTGCGCCCCAGAGTGTTCTGCAGCATAATCAGCACGTTCTCTTTTAACTTGATGTCAAATTTTCGCCTCCTCTTCGTCTCCACATGGTTAAAGTTACCCTCACGGTCTATCACTGGCAAATCAAAAGTGAGACGATGACACAACCGCCCCCCCCCCGTGGTACTTGCTTGTTACCACATTCCACCCGGCCACAATAAAAAAACGGCCATTATTCACCTCCGCCGACTCCGACACCGGCCAAAATATGATACCCGGCAGTTAATTAAATACAGGCCTGTATTAGAGGATTTACAGTAAAACTTCTTTGACATCGTCAGCATGTCTGCTGAGGGTGAAGACTGTTTACCTGCAGTAAAAAGGTTGCAGGTTCAGTTTTTCTGCATGAATTTTAGATGTTTTTGTCATTAATAAGTTAGTTTCTGCCCAATGTTCCCCCACACTCAAAAAACACATTTTTTACAATTAACTCAAGAACCATCTAAATGATTGGACCAAGCTTGAAAAGGAAATTAAATTCATAGTTTTTTTCCCAAGGAGATGAGAACACCACAACATGTTATACAAAGGAGGCTGAGGGAACACATGTTCTCAAACCAAACCTAAAAAAAAATATCTGCCTGCAAAATGTACAGAAATGCAAAGACGTGGTTGGTTTTTGGTTAAAAACATCTCAGAAAAGAGTTTTGCTTTTGAGCTTCTAATCAGTCTCAATGAAAAAAAAAAGAAAATCAGATTATTAATCTGAAATAATTAGTGTTTTTATTTAATGTTAAAAACAGTCTGGACAGATAAATGACTGGTGCAATACTCCGAAAAGAATTCCACACTTAAACAGTTGAAAACATACAAAAATGAAAGAAAACTAATGATTTTGGGGTTTATGAGACTCAAGTTGTTTAACTTTGAGAAAAGCAGTCACAAAACGTAAATCCTCGAATACAGGCCTGTATTCAATTAACGGCCGGGTCTCATATTTTGGCCGTTGCCGGAGTCGGCGTAGATGAATAATGGCCGGTCTCCTATTGTGGCCGGGTGGAATGTGGTAACAAGCAAGTACGGGGGTGGTTGTGTCATCGTCTCACTTTTGATTTGCGAGTGAAAGACCGCGAGGGTAACTTTAACTGTGCGGAGACGAAGAGGAGGCGAAAATTTGATATCAAGTTCAAAGAGAACGTGCGCTGCAGAACACTGGGGAGCAATAGGGGATGTATGAACTAGTCGACTTCACTATAGTGACTTTTTATGCCTGTTGTCGACTAGTAGCTGTCACGTGATAATGACCGGCAAGATGCAGCCCTCGGAAAAGACAGCAGCCTGCTATCAGCAGGTGACAAGCTCCTGCGCTCTGGGGGGCAACGCGCTGTGCCAGAGCGTTGGTACTGACACGCGATCGTTCATGTCGGTTCATTTCCTTTAATGTTTTCTGTCTTTTATTTGCGCCTGATGCGTTTCGCTGTGGAGTGGGGCGCATCACCTTGTCCTCCGGTGACGCACCGATCACTGATGCGGCCGGCAAGCAGCGAGGACTCCACTGTTTTTGCGGTCGGTAGATCTGCGTCCTCAGCACGGCCACAGTAACATTATCAAATCAGGTGTCGCCACCTCAAAAACTGATTTAACACGCGATCGTTCATGTCGGTTCATTTCCTTTAATGTTTTCTGTCTTTTATTTGCGCCTGATGCATTTCGCTGTGGAGCGGGCCGCGTCACCTTGTCATCCGGTGACGCACCGATCACTGATGCGGCCGGTGAGCAGCGAGCACTCCGCTGTTTTTGCGGTCAGTAGATCTTTTAGAACTGCAGTTCAAAGGTAACTCATAAGGTGAATATATATATATATATATATATATATATATATATATATATATATATATATTCACCTTATGAGTTACCTTTGAACTGCCTGTAGACGCTCTTTTGTAAACTTCATGAAGGATGCAGATAATTTGCAACGTCAGTGATTTCATATCACTGTTTCATCTTGAGTTCACTCGTCTGTCACTTCGTCGTCCATCGTCAGCATCCGTCCGTCTCGAGACAATGGAAAGTGAAGCCTCCTCCCAAGTACCTACTGAGGAATGAATCAGTACCTACTAGGTACATAAGCATTACCTACTGCTTGTATTATATAATCTTGACAAATAAATGATTTATTAAAATATATTAAAATACAACTAATATAAATAAATAATATTAAAATACAACACTGTAATTAAACATTTTTAAACTATGACTTGTTGAACATATATTGTTGAGGGTATGCCCTCATGAGAAATTGCTGCAGTAATTTTCTCCAAAAGGCTGTGCTAAATTGCTTTGAAAAGCAGATAATAAACATCAGCGCCAAAAGACACTTCATTTCCCATGATGCTTTGCACACGGAAGCAATGTGAAGACGTCACCGCCTAATACCAGAAACACGTTCTGCGCATGTGCGGGAGCCCATAGAGCTTTCCCGTGAGTTCAGACAGCTATAAATCATTTACAAAGATAAAGAACTCCGTTCTTTTGCCCAGGATCTCTGGCTGTAAGTGGCTTGGTCATACGCTCTGACTAACTTGAGCACGCGGGAAGTCTAAGTGCTCCATCAAGCTCACAGAACCGCTGGAAAGCTAAACTACAAGCCATCAGGTCTGTTCAACCGCTCGCTGCGCTAGCTGCTGAAGGGAGAACACAGAACCGGGCTGAAAAATCAGCAACTCCGTCAAACTCACGGACAACGCCGAAAACAGCGGAGAAAGCCATCAAACCGACGGACGACGCCGAAAACTGCGGAGAAACACGGAGAACCGTCAAATCAAACAGCGGGGGACGCCTTGCTGTTCTGGTGATCAGAAACTCATCTATTTCTCTCTCTCCTTCTTTCCTTCTCCCGTTTCCTCTATAGTCCAGAATAAGCAATAAAACCGCGCTATTGCTTAAAAGTAGCTTCGTGTTTTCCTCTTTCGTTCCCAAATACGTCCGTCGGGTCATTTTGAAAGAATAAACTGCTTATTGATCATTGTTTGGTATCTTAAAATGGTTTCTGCTATGGCCAAGCGGTTAAAATAAAAGATATTAATTCAGGATTAATCTTTTGTGTTGTTTCATGACCATTTTGAAGTGTTTTGAGTGATTTTAAGGTTAAGTTACTTCTGATTCTAAGTGCCTTGGAAGTTAAAGTGCAAGTTGCCACCCTCACTTTAGCCAGACAAAGGGGTCAGCCATCTTGTATTCAAGACTCCATTTTGAATCCATACACACGCACACACACACCACTCCTTTGTGAGAACGGAGGACCCCATTCATACATCCTCCATCACACGCAAACACATCCATCTTATTATATCACATGGTTATCATTCATTTATTTCATTGTTTATTCATTTGACAAATTGTTTAACTAAATGTTATAAAATTCAGATTTTTGTCTCCAGTAGCTTTGTTGTGTCGAAGCGAAGTCTCTGCTCCAAGGCTTATACGAACTTCAAGAAAGACTGATAAGGTTTTGGATTCATTTCCCTTTCTAATTAAAGGGATGATGCCTCGGAGATATCTAAGAAAATCTTAATTAATTAATAAATCAGTAAATATTCCCATATTTACAGAATTTATTGAAGAATCCAAAAGTAAGTTAAACTTACTAATTATTCTCTCCTAATAATCCCAACAATATCATGCCCAAAAACTACACAAGACAGATACAAATTGCAGAAAACAGTTTTTACTATAGACCAAACAGTTTAATTCACACACACACACACACACACACACACACACTGAGATATAGAAATTTAGAAAAAGTGAGAATGACTGTTCCTCTCGGGTTGTGGTGGATAAAGTATGACTGCCTCCTATTTACCTACATCAAAATATAACGCATAGTAAATAGGCCGTTCTGTCTCTTTCAACACATTTCAGTCTTGTCAGATTTTTCCATTTTTTTCTGATCTTTTACCTTTGTGCGACAAAAAGTTGTTGAACTGTGAGAATGTGACTCCTCAATTTGATATCCTCATCTTTTTCACTTCCTGTGGAGTCATGTCAGTGTTTTATCCTGTCTTCAGTTCTGCTGATAAAAAGCATTAAAAAAAGGTTTCATGTTGCATTTTGAGCTCACATAAGATGACACATCTGCTGAGTGTAAGCACACCCACGCTGAAAAGCTCCAGCTGAGGTTTGAGCCTGCAACCCTTCTGCAGCGGGGCCAATAGAATGTCTCTGATAAGAACAGACTGAACAGGAAACTCTAAAAGAAACTCTACAAATATAAAACCAATATGAGTACAAAGGTCAATGAAAACAAAATGTTTGTAGATTTCTGAAAACATATACGGGAGTGTCTGCTGGATTTAAAAGATTCTGAGCAGTGAAAAATACAGAAGAAGAATACAGGGAACGAAGTGAGGAGGTGCGGTTGGAGGAAGGAATGAGGCAAGGAGGGGGGGGGCAGCAACATCTGGAGCACAAAAGGGAAGAAAGTCAGGATGTTTCATGGGAGGAGGACTGTTCCAGTCTCTTCTTGCTCCAATCTCCTGTTGAGTCGCTCTAGGCTTTAATCTAAACGTGTCCTCTTTCATACACTAATGATTTATTATCTTTACCAAACTTAACCCATAAACATCAATGGTTTTTTTAAAGCTAACTTTAAACTGTTAGCTTTTGCAGATTACAGAAACAGTAAACAAAAAGAAAATTTAATCTATAATCCACACATGACTATAATTTTTTTCAAAACATATAAAAGTTTGCATTGAAAAGATTTTTTACAGCAGCTAAGCAGCTCCAGGTTATAAGTGTTTTAAGTAATTATGTGACTGCTTTTCTCTATATTTGAGGCTCATACATACCCCAAAATCATTATTTATCTTTAAGTCGTATTTAATTTTCAACTATTTAAGAGCACATTTATTTAAGGAGTCTTGTACCAGTAATATATCTGTTCTGACTTTTTGATGATGAAATAAAAACACAGTTTATTTCTCGTTAAAGTTCTGTTTTCTTTTTATTTTTACCATCAGCAGCTGCAGGTCTGGTTACAAATTCAAATGCAAAACTGTTTTCTGAGATATTTTACCCACAATAACCAACACGCATCTGCGTATCTGAAATTTTTGCGGATTGCTGTGTTTTTTTTATGATGTTGTGGTTTGAGAACACGTGTTCCCACCGCCTCCTCGATCTGATATCATCCTCCTCGGCTCCTTTTCTCTTCGATTCTGCCGTTAAAAAGGAAAGAAAATTATATTTTTCAAGAAGTAGTCTGATAATTTGGATAGATCTTAAAAATAAACAAGGTAATTGTCAAAACTGTCTTTGGAGTGTGGGAGAAAAATAAGGTAAATAACTTCCTGTTATGTGGCAGTATTTCCTGTTGAACTATATATTCAAAGGGTGATACTTAAAAAATGACTATAATTGTGCAGATGAACATTAGGTCTGACGAGTTCACATCAGGATATTTAGAGTAAAACTTGTTCAGATGCATGACTGAGAGGTAATAAGATGTAAAACAGTTCTAATTGTCTCGTGTTTTTCAGAATAAGAGTCTGGTTTTTGTTGCTTTTTTAATAATTTTATACCCTTACTTTTTTACAGTAACTTTTATAACATTCTTTTTTATCACTAAAAGTCAGAGATCATTTGCAAAAATAAACATATAGCTTGACTAAACGTGCTTTTGATGCAACACTCTTACACCTTAAACACATTTGCACGCTTGCACACGTTCTTATTGTGTATAATTTGTTTAATATCAAAAGTCACAAACCTGAGGGATAATGACTCGAACACATGCAAATATCTCCCGGTTTTATCACTCGTCATTCATTCTGTCCTTAGTTCCACAGCATCAACACGGACCTAGAGAGACTTTGTTTTTGCATCACTCCACAATGCCTGTTTCAACTTGCTTCCCAGAGGGTTTCCTAGGAACTCGGCTATTGCTTTCATTTATATCAGTTACATCAGTTTTTCAGGCCTTTATTTGGTCAGATGTGATCACCACACCAAAGCAGTGACTAAAAAAGGATTACAAGAGAACTTTGCTCCCCTGCAGCACATTCTGGCTGAAATATAAACAATCAAATAGCTGGAGCCAGCCTGCTTCTGCCTGGTTCGTCTTAGAATATGTTTTCACTTTTAGAACAGAAAAGTTCCATTTGAACAATTTAACAAGCAGTAGTTGATCTTGGATAAATGTGCCTTAAAACAAAAGCAAAGTTGCAAAAATGTCATCAGTTATGTAAATCCTTGCTTTAATATTCATTGAACCCTACCCCCAACCTTTATTTACCTCTCTGAGATGTAAAAACGTATTAATCTTCTATTTTTGAAACTGATCCCAAGGCATTTGTAAAGTTTTATGGTAATTTGTCGGAATTTTAACTCTGACCATTCCCTTCCTGTTTCCTTATTTGCATTTGGGATTACGCTTAATTTTTCTGCAGCACAATCCCAGTCCCTGTTCGCAGCTTTATCGTATCAGGATGAACCCTACGCTCCTGAACCAGACAAATGCCTGTTCACCGGCCTCCTCGATGGAATGATAGATGTACCCAGCTACATATTCTTTATTCTTCATCGTGGGTTTTCCAGCCAACCTCTTGTCCCTGTACGTAGCCTGGAGACTGACGATGAACGGGAACATTATGTCGGTTTACCTCATCAGCCTGTGTATATCTGACCTGCTCTACACTGTCACTCTGCCTGTTTGGACTGAAATGGCCCTGAAGAGGAGCGTAGCAGACTGTCCCTGCGGTGTGGTGTATTTTCTCATGTACAACAGCTTTTACGTTGGCTCTGGACTCCTTTGCTGCATCTCTGTGGATCGCTATCTGGCAATTGTCTACCTGCTCCACTTTCACTGGGTCAGTAAGATGAGCACAGCTGTATTTGTAAGCACTGCTGTTTGGATTTTGGAGCTCCTGCTGCATGTTCTCCTCCTCCACCACATGGGGGCGCTGAAATCCTTCACATGCTTGTGTCACCGGCACATCCCAATGCCACAAGCAGACGCTAGCGTCTCTTTAGTTCGAGTCGTCCTAAGTTTCCTGGTGCCTGTCATGTCTGTTTGCTATCAGCTGATCATGCACTCACTGCAGCAGAGCTCCTCCATTCTGGCAGAAGAGCGCAGGAAAGTGAGACTCCTGTTGTTGTTCCTCCTCCTGACCTACATGGTGACCTTTTGCCCTATCAGACTGTGATGTGTCTTAGGGGCAATACTGGAGCCAGGGAGCTGCAGCTGGGTCACAAAGCTCAGAGATCCATACCTGGTCACAGTCGCCACGACAACACTGAGCAGCACCCTGGATCCAATAATTTACTGTTTTGTAATCAATGAGAGCACCAAGATGGAGATTAGGAGTGTTGTGGAGAAAGGGGAAAGTTTTTTGAAGAGTCAATAAGAAAACTCTACAAGAACTCAGTCAGTACCATGACTAACATTTCTATTTTTTGATGTGAAAAGTGTTTATTAAAGATGCATTTAATGTGTAGTTTAAGGGATGGAGCAGAGTGTTTATTATAGTTTTAGGATGTACGTGCACATTTTCATTAAATGTGTTAGAAACAAAGAAAAAAACATGAAATAGCAGACGCTTTAAAGACAGAAACAGTCACATCCACCAGGTTTGTCAACATAGCTGCACTATGGAAATAATAACGAGCATCGCCGCCAGCTGAGTCCACCTCTGTATTTAATCACCAAACACCAAATTAAATGTGCCTTCTGTTAGTTTGTTCTGTCTAGGCCCGTCACCCAGTGACACGGTATCAGGAGCACGAAGCCAGCAGCTGCTGATGCTTCCTGCTGAACACATCGATCCATAAGTACAGGGTAGCACTGGGGGCTAAGTCAGCTCCGCTTCAGATTTATTTTTATTTCATTTTATTAAGAATGATTCTTATGAACAGAGAACAAGTTGGGCCAAATAAAGAGTGAGTAAACACCTTTGAGTTTAAATGTTTGTTATAAAATCTGAAATAATTCATAATGCATGCCAAGAATTTTGCATGTTTGAATGATTATTTTATGAGTCATAAAAACCATGAAACGGTCATGATCAAACCTTCATTACTTGATATGTTGCTTTAACTTTTGGATATTGTAAGTATCTATTCTACTCTCGGGTCTTTGTAGTATTTCTGCGGTTGTTTTTGTTGATTTTTACACATTTTTAAATCATACCGTGGCAAGTTGTGTGTTCTTGAAAAAAAAAAGAGTAATTTAACAAATGTCATTCATAGCTCTTCATGGGTATTTTATTTAACAAAGCAAATATAATTAGTTTGTGAATTCAGCTCAAAAGTGAATAACCCTTTAGAGCCTGAATTATGTAATAAAAAATATTGCTTTAAAACAGAACTACCAAAATGCAAATGATAATATAACAACTATATAACAATCTGTGTGAATTTACCATGTCATTTATTTATTTATTTATTTATTTATTTATTTATTTATTTATTTATTTATTACAACAACATAGCCTTAATTAGCACACTGTATTTTCCCTTACCATCTGTAGATCCTCCACTAGAGGGCAGTAGACAAGTAAGGGTTTGGAAATAAAAGGTTTTTTTTTATGACGGTAGCAATTCTAATTCTTCATCCGGGTGCTTTAAGGCCGTAAGTGATTTTTTTTTACAATAAATAACTAAGGATATGATATATAATCACAAAGAAAATCCTAAAAAAATTGTGTTGTGCATATTTTGTGTCCTGTTTTCGGTGTCTTTTCATTCTGGATCCTGGGTTTTTAGCATGGAAATATTATTTCAGCTCCTCTGTATTTAGGCATTTTGTCATTTTCTTCCTGTAACTTTTTTTTAATTGGTGTACCATCTTTTAAAGTCGTATCTGTTTTGCCTTCCAAAAATGTGAGGCATTCAGCTAAAATCTGTATAAAAAAAAGAAAAGAAAATGATCACAAAAATCAAGTTAGAATTAGTTTTGCAGTAGTTGGAAAGTAAATATTTGGTGACTTTTAGGTTGTTTATTTAAAGATGTGTTGTGATTATTTACTGTGTTCTTTCTTTATTTTCTCAACAAGGCATCAGCATTAAAGGACCACACCTGCAATGGAAAACTTGACCCTGTTCACCAACCAGTCGGAGTGTTACGTAGTCGACACAGCGTTAAGGAGGAGGCTGTTTCTGATCTACTACCTGGTTGTTATCATCGTTGCCATCCCAGCCAACGCCTTCTCTCTTTACATTTCCTGGATGCACATTAGACAGAAGAACAATCTTGGCGTCTATCTCTTCAGCCTCGCCTTCAGTGACCTGACCTTCACGATTGGTCTCTCCTTGTGGCTGGACTTCCTGTGGACGGGATATTGGACTCATGGAGGTTATGTCTGCTTGTTATCAGTCTACTCCCTCTTCACCAACTTTTACACCAGTGAGGCTCTGCTCTGCTGCATTGCTGTCAGCCGCTACCTGGCTGTTGTCCACCCATTAAAGTACACGTTCTTGAGGAAAATCAATACTGCTGCAGCGGTCACTGCATCCATTTGGGTGTCGGTCATCTGTTTCAATGCATGCACCATAACCTGGGAGGACTCATATCAGGAAAGCAATATTTTTCCGTTGTGCTATGATGTCATCCTGCCGCTATCAGAGCACATGGCTCGTGCTAATGTAGCACGCTTTTTCCTGGGACTTGTTATTCCAGTTCCTCTTGTCTTTTTGTCCACTTGGGGAACTTGCATGGCTGTGAAATCCAACCAGGCCACAAATGAGGAGGAACGTTTAACAGTCTTAAAGCTACTGACAGTAATTCTTCTTGGTCTTTTGTTCTGCTTCGGACCCATCCATGTCATGATGCTTGTGCGAACACAGTGTAACAACTGTGAGGGTTTGAAATGGTTCCTCCATGTCTACAAGATCAGCACTGCAATCTCAAGCTTCAACTGTCTAGTGGACCCACTGCTCTACTGCTTCATCACAAAAACAGCAAAGGCTCATTTCAAACAGGTTCTACTCTTCTTTCTAAGAAAACAAAATACATCAGAAGAAAGCACCCCAAGTGAAGTTCAAAACACCACAGAGTAATAACCAAGAGTTTAGTCTAAAGTCAGACATCTCACAACTTATTTTTCCCACCTAGCTCTCAGATTTGTTTGGGTGGCATGTTGATTGTTTGGAAATTATTTTAAATGTAGGCATTTAAATGAACACATTTATCCGAGGCAACTTTCATTTTTGTTGGTTGAAAATAAAACTTGTCATTTTTTAAAGCATTAATTTCAAGACAGTTTTTGTATTTCACCATCACTGATCTCTCTCTCCTGACACTGAGTTATAAATGTGAAGAGCAATTTCTGCTGCAATCAGAGCAAACAGCACAAGGCCCTGCTATCAGTCACCTAGATTTATGATGGAAAAATGGCATTTCTTATAGATTTTTCAATAGTTTCATTTTCATCAGAGGGTTTTACAGCCCAGATTATGATGGTCTCTTCTTGTCCTGGAGTTCTTTATTGTCTAAGAATGTTCAAGATGACCCAGAGTCAATTTCAAGGTGATTTAAGATATCAAAGACAGAAAAAGAGAAAATGTCGGATGGAAAAGGAAAATTATTTTACAAGTTAATCTGAGAAGATGTGAATTAGGAAATTAAATAATTCTAACTGCAAAACTAAAACAAAGAAATGCATCCCATTATGTCATCTGGGGTTTTATTTTGGGTTGTTTTTTAAAAGGGAGGTCTCATTAAGGTAAAGTCTCCTTTTCTGTGGATTTCTGGGGGGTGAGGTAAGATTGAATAGATCCAGCTACCCATAGGTAGGCAATTATCTCCTGTTTCCTGTGGCTTTCCAGGACCTTGTCATTTACAGGCTTATAATAGATGTTTGTGATGCACTTGCACTTTATCATAGGGGTTGGGGGTGTTTTAACATCCTAAACGTATACACAGATAAAATATGCATGAGTAAAATTTTAAAATACCTGATATTTCTAGAAATGATGGAGGTTATTTAACTGTTAGTTTTCTTGATAATCATGAAAGAATAAAGTAAGGCAGTGAGAGAAAAATGCATGTATATTTTATGAGACAAAAATGATTTTGGACAATAAATATTGATGAAATACGCAGAAAAGGTCCAAATAGGCAGAGTCTTCCTGAACTTTTTCCCAGAAGAAATAGTTTCAGTATCACGTAAAATCCTCCTAATCCCTGCAGACCAATGTCTCCTCACTAGATGGAGGTGATAATGGTTCTTCCTACATCACATCAGACCAGTCAGGTCTATCATCAAAAATCAAATTCCCTTAGGGATTCCTTCCTGACACATCAAACAGACTACCATGAAAACTTCCTCTGTTTGATGCTGCAGTGATAAATGGAAGTAAAGTAAGACGATCTAATCCAGACCCTAACAGCTTCCTTTTGAGTGATTTGGGATTATTGTGTTAAAAGTGTAGCGTCATGAATGTCCTATTTTTGACCTAAAGGTCATGATCTGCTGCGTCTGCTTGAGTAGAGACTTAAAGTCTCTGACACAAGGCTAATCTACATGAGATAGTGGCCAAGGTCTTTCATGCACTCTGCTCCTCTAAACTGCTTCACCTCTGTTACAGCTCAAGATGAAGACGAAGAACTCTCTTGATAAATACATAATCAGACAACGTTTGTTATTGCCAATAATAATGTGAACCCAATGTTCAATCAATCTGTGTAATGACAATGTTATTACTTGATATTATAATCCTATGATCAGTAGTATTTTATAAGTAATTATAATCTTGGACATTTGCACTAGACACTGATGACACAGAGTAATGCTAAAGTCACACGACACATTTCCTTTTGTCTGATCCAATCAGAACCTTCGTTTCTGACGTGAGGCGTGGTTTTCTGTGGAGTTTGTATAAACCCTCTTTTGCATGTCAAATTCTGATTCACCAGTAAACCAAAATATGACAGTTATAAAAACTATTCCACGCCACATTTTCTTTAGTTCAAAGCGTTCTAGAGGAGTCTCGGTCAGGCCATCCAGACTTCCTCTTCAGCCATGAAGAACCTCGACAAGCTGGATAAAATCTGTTGCAAGTTACACCTGACCACAACGGTTCCTTCAGAATAAAAGCTGAACCTCACGACCCCTTCAGGGTCTCGCTGATGCCAATGATAACCTGTCGTAACCTGGAAGCATTCCAAGACTAGTTTGGTCGGCACCGCTGCTTTTCTACCCGCTTCGGTTCCAAGGAGTGTCCAAGAGGACCTTGACATTCTGGATCCAAACGGAGGCTTCCCCTGGGTATGTAGATCGACAGATGGCGTCTCATGTGTGTTATAAATCTCCTACTATAGTTTAGAGCGAAACATTCACTCCCACTCAGAACTAAATGCTTCTCCGGATCAGTTGGTTCTGATAGCAACATTCCACACATACACCATCATTCATCTCACGTCTCACTCCACCTTAGTTCCATCAGTCCACAGAGTGTTTAAAGTTAGTCTTGTTTAAACTGTGTAGAAATAAATTTCTTAACTATTATAAACCTGACTCTCTTTCTTTCCTCGGAGTTAATACGAAGTGTCAAGTAATCCCTGCAATAAAAAGTTCTGATCTTCTGGTTAAAATATTCAAAGATCCATCAGATTGATATTTCATATTTCTATGGAATCTCACATTTTATGGTTCAGAAGTAAGATGTAAACTACCCATCGTTACAAAAGAATTTCATAAACACAAACTAAAGTGCTGACACAGCAAGTCTGCATCCCCTCATCCTCTGCTATTGGTGTTGATTCAGTTCAATCCGCTGTATGATCCAGACCAAACACCTTTCTCATTTTGAAGCTCCTCCATCATCTGGGCTGCATGGTGACGCAGTGGTTAGCACTGTTGCCTCGCAACACGAAGGTCGCAGGTTCGAAACTCGGCTGTGGCCTTTCTGCGTGGAGTTGCGTGTTCTCCCCATGCATGCGTGGGTTTCCTCCGGGTACTCCGGTTTCCCCCACACAACATGCCCTATAGGTTAAAAAAAATTGTAAGTCGCTTTGGGTAAAAGCGTCTGCTAAGCACATAAACATAAACATCTGATCATCTGTAATCTAAAAGTGGACATGTGGAGTAAAGACTGGACAGGCTTGCTAATAGAAATGGTTCATGCAGCTATCATAACTCTTAATTTAACTGAGGAAGGGTTCGTGTCTGCAGATGAATGTAGGTGTTTCGCTGTAATTACTAAGTGTGTAAATAAGTAAGTGACCTGACTGTCCTCTCATGCGTATTATGTAACGACCTGTTTCCAAGAACTCTGTTATCACATGTTTAAACAAGTGTGCAGTAAAACTTTTATTATGATTCGGGATGTGATGGATATGTCACTGCGTTTACACAACAAAATAAAAATCATTATTTTGATGTAAGATTTTACAATATGATGCGACTTATGTTTGTGTTTACGTATTTAGCAGACACTTTTGTCCAAAGTGGCACACAGGTGATAATCAAGCCAGCAGGTTACCCTTGAGGCTAACAACAAACACTATTCAGTCAATCCTAGGTGGCAGTGAGGCAGCATAATCAGTCATAGAGGGAGGCGAGCATGGAGTGTGCAGTAGGGTGGGGGACGGATGCTGGGAGGGGTGCTAGTTTTAAATACAGGTGCTGGCCAGTAAATTAGAATATCATCAAAAGGTTGAAAATATTTCAGTAATTCCATTCAAAACGTGAAACTTGTACATTATATTCATGCAATGCACACAGACCAATGTATTTCCGATGTTTATTACGTTTAATTTTGATATTTATAGGTGACAACCAATGAAAACATCAAATCTGGTATCTCAGAAAATTAGAATATTCTAAAGGCCAATGAAAAAATGTTTGTTTCTCTAATGTTGGCCAACTGAAAAGAATGAACATGAAAAGAATGTGCATGTATAGCACTCAATACTTAGTCGGGGCTCCTTTTGCCTCAATAACTGCAGTAATGCGGCGTGGCATGGACTCGATCAGTCTGTGGCACTGCTCAGGTGTTATGAGAGCCCAGGTTGCTCTGATAGTCGTCTTCAGCTCCTCTGCATTGTTGGGTCTAGCGTATTGCATCCTCCGCTTCACAATACCCCATAGATTTTCTATGGGGTTAAGGTCAGGCGAGTTTGCTGGCCAATCAAGGACAGGGATACCATGGTCCTTGAACCAGGTGCTGGTGGTTTTGGCACTGTGTGCAGGTGCCAGGTCCTGTTGAAAGGTGAAGTCTGCATCCCCATAAAGTTGGTCAGCAGCAGGAAGCATGAAGTGCTCTAAAACTTCCTGGTAGACGGCTGCATTGACCCTGGACCTCAGGAAACAGAGTGGGCCAACACCGGCAGATGACATGGCACCCCACACCATCACTGACGGTGGAAACTTTACACTGGACCTCATGCAACGTGGATTCTGTGCTTCTCCGCTCTTCCTCCAGACTCTGGGTCCTTGATTTCCAAAGGAAATGCAGAACTTGCTTTCATCAGAAAACATAACTTTGGACCACTCAGCATCAGTCCAGTCCTTTTTGTCCTTGGCCCAGGCGAGACGCTTCTTGCGCTGTTTCTTGTTCAAGAGTGGCTTGACACACGGAATGCGACACCTGAATCCCATGTCTTTCATGAGTCTCCTCGTGGTGGTTCTTGAAGCGCTGACTCCAGCTGCAGTCCACTCTTTGTGGATCTCCCCCACATTTTTGAATGGGTTTGTCGTCACAATTCTCTGCAGGGTGCGGTTATCCCTAGAGCTTGTACACTTTTTTCTACCACATTTTTTCCGTCCCTTCGCCTGTCTGTTAATGTGCTTGGACACAGAGCTCTGCGAACAGCCAGCTTCTTTAGCAATCACCTTTTGTGTCTTGCCCTCCTTGTGCAAGGTGTCAATGATTGTCTTTTGGACAGCTTTTAAGTCAGAAGTCTTCCCCATGATTGTGGTGCCTTCAAAACAAGACTGAGGGACCTTTTAAAGGCCTTTGCAGGTGTTTTGAGTAAATCAGCTGATTAGAGTGGCAGCAGGTGTCTTCTATATTCAGCCTTTTCAGAATATTCTAATTTTTTTGAGATACCAAATTTGGAGTTTTCATTAGTTGTCACTTATGAATATCAAATTTGAATGTAATGAACATTGGAAATACATTGGTCTGTGTGCATTGCATGAATATAATGTACAAGTTTCACGTTTTGAATGGAATTACTGAAATATTTTCAACCTTTTGATGATATTCTAATTTACTGGCCAGCACCTGTATGCTCTCTGAAGAGCTGGAGTTTCTAGATTTATTATTATTAAGTACTTATTCCTGAATTTCAACATAAAGTTCTCAGCATGTGTGAACAAACAGATCTCACTATTGTCCATGTCTGTGGTTCACAAAATGTTAAGCTAAAATAACTCCAGAGATGTACCATGGTTGGTGCTCATTCTAGTTTCCTTTTACATCTGCAGTGGGAGTTTATTCAAAATCACTATAATGTACATCTATTTTATTCATAACTGGAAACATGTTCAGCTCATTTCTTGAAGCCAAGACAGTTGAAAGATTTATTAAAATAAGAAATTATCATTATATAAGGAATTCAAGCTGCACCCAACACACACATTGACATATACCGCCCTCTAGAGGTTACTTAATTAAATGCAGCTTGTTCTCTTGATCACTTTCATTCATGTAAATTATTTTTATTTATTTATGACGCTAGTGTTTTATTACAGTTACATTATAAAATGCAGGGGAGATGGTGGTCGAACAGGGAGAGCGGCTGTCTGTTAGTTGGAAGGTGAGCGGTTCGATTCCTGGCTCCATGTGCTACTACTTGGGCAAGATCCTGAACCCTACAGTTACCTCTGCTCCTTAGGGTAGCTGAATTTCCCAGAGTGACCTTCCAGAAGTATTAATAAAGTTTTATCTCAATGTGAAAATAAATCAGTAGAGAACGAGGTTTCTGCTGACTCAGGATGTCTGTAGAAACAATTATAGGTTTTTAAAGATGAGTTAATGCTTTATGTCTACAGATGGAAAGTATTTAAACTTAATTGTAAAATAAAACCATAACAATTGAGCCATTTTGAGCGTCATATTCATATGATTTCCATATTATTTCTTGATTAGTGTTTGAAATCTCTCAAATTGTATAGAAATTATAGAACAGTCTGAAGAGAAAATGCCTGAGTCTTTGTTGTCTGATTTGCTTCACCTAACACTTTCTAACTTATGTCAGCAGAAAGGGTAGAACTCTGCAACCCACCAGTTACTCATCTGTTTACCTTCCATTGCCTTTCACCGTGCACATCAGGGTTTATTAGAATAAATTCCCATCTAGGAAATAAAAGAAGGCAAGAATCCCAGTCTCAGCCTGGATCCTGGCAAAGTCTCAGCGTGACTCTGAGGGCCTGTTCTGTTTTTTATGATAAATGAACAAGCCTGTAATCTACTTAGGGTATCTGACTCAATGTGTGCCCATTTATAGTGGGGTATTATTTTTCTTTCTGAATAAAATTTTTTAAATGACACTAGGTTGTACAACAAAATATTTGGAAGCCAAGCAGCATAAATCTAGAGTCTGAGTAAAGGTAAGCTGCAGAGGAAATCTGCATAAAATGTATGTCTAATGAAAAATAAGTGGGGAGTGAGACAGATGTGCATTTATTACAGGTAAATGCGTGGAAGAATATTACATAAGGTAGCTACAGGTAATATAGATAAGATGTAGATTAACTGTATTTGCTGCAGTATCACTTTTTTGTTTTACATTTTGCTCAACAGATAATTCAAGTTATTGCAGTAAACATCAATAAAGGGGTGTTTTCCATTGCCCCATTAAAATCGGTCGGTATGGTTTTCCTGACATTGTGGTTTTATTCTACATAATTTAATCAACTTCATTCTGCATTCAGAAACCAGATTATCTCAATCCTAATAGCACATCAAAATAATGTCACCAGAACAGGGAGAGACAACAGATGCATCATGGGTAAACAACTTGAGTTTGGCCGTGAACTGGAAGCCAATGTAAACATTCCAGGATGGGGGTGATGTGCTACCTGCATCAAGTGCCTGTTAAGAAACTAGCTGCCAAATTCTGTACCAACTGCAGTCGTGCAACTGTGCCCTGACTCAGGCAGGCATACAAAACATTGCAATAATCCAATTTGGAAAGGACCAAAGCATGAGTAACCGACTCTAGATTTAGTCTAGACAATAGGGGCTTAATGCTTGAAAGACAAGATTCAAAATTTAAGCAATCCATTCTTATCCCTAAATTTGTTGCCAAAGTTCTTCATATTAGCAACCAAAGGGCCAAGATCAATGCCAGAGATGAAACAATCTGACATATCCGAAGTGAAGACTATGACCTCAGTTTTATTGTCATTTAAAAGAAATACTTGGAAGCCACCAAAGTCCTAACAAAGTCCTAACAAACCTAAGCAGTCCAAAAGAGTAAAGGTTGATCCACTGGCCCCCACATTGAAGTGGAAAGTAGATCTGACTATCGTCAGCATAGAAACTGGATCTCACTCCATGCTGGCAAAGGAGAAACCCCATCGGAAGGATGGACATGGAAAAAAGGAGGGGACCCAAAACTGAGCCCTGTGGGACTACCCATTTGTGTCCCACCCAAGTCGAGAAAACTTCCCCTACACAAACACAGAAGGTTCTTTCCCTGAGGTACGAACAAAGTCATTGCAAGGTCGCCCCGGTAACCCCCACCCACTGTTGAAGTCTATTCAGTAGGACATCTTGGTCAACCGTGTCAAATGCCGCAGACAGGTCCAACATTAGCAGAACAACAGTGCCCCCTCTGTCAGCAGCTAGAAAAACATTGGAACCATTAGAAGTGCAGTCTTTATGCTGTGTCCCGCCCTGAACCCAGACTGAAACATCTCCCATAATTCATAGGAATATGAAAAAATAACCAACTGAGCACACACAACCCTTTCAATCAGTTTTGATAGGTAAGGAAGATGTGAGCTACCATCTTGAGCTAATGAAGATTAAATCTGGTTCATTATCTAAACATATACCCGTAATCAATTTCTGATGTTTTCACCAGAAAAAGTCATCTTCTGATCTTGAGAATACTTCCTGTTAAAAAATTTTAATTTGCATCAAACTATTATTTTGTTAATTTTTTTATT